TCTTCTTCTGCAGGGCATGGGGGGGCCGGAAGACCCCTCGCGCCTAGGCGCGCCCAAGTTCACTGTCATCGTGAGACTGCTTCTCGTTCCCCAAAATACTCTTTTGCTCACACTCTCTCGCTCTCTCTCTGTTCTGTTTCTTGGGCTGGGCTTAGGGGGGCACAGGGCAGTGCTGCCCACCCCGGTTTCGGGCACTTGGCACCGCCGACTGTGCAAGCGCGGAACCAAAATCTCCTCTGCTCAGCGAAGAGAGCACTTCTAAGTCCTGTCCCTCCATGCCTCCCTCCCTTCCGTCCTACTTTGCTTCCAGCGCGTGTGGCTACGAAAGCAGCCGTCCTCCACCGGGGGTTGGTGTGATCCCTCTCCTTTTTCCTCCTTCGCCGCCTCCTCCTCCTCCTCCTCCTCCTGCTACTTCTACTTCTACTTCTTTTTCTTCTTCTTCTTCTTCTTCTCCTCCTCCTCCTCCTCCTCCTCCGCTCTCTCTCTCTCTCTGAAGAGTTCGGTTTGTACAAAAACACTGCATGGTCCGGGATGTTGACTTAGACCCAACAAAGTACTCCCCACACAACCTGCTATATGCAGGTGGCAGACGAAGGGCATCCATCCGTGTTTGTGCTTTATGGGCTTGTCGCTGGATGGGCAGTGCAGGGTCATGGCCCTTCGGCAGGTAACAGAGGGACCCAAGCTGGAGACCGAAGTGGGACTCGTCGATTGTGAAGAACCGCGACCCCGCTGCCCCCGGCGCGAGCAGCTCCCAGGCCAAAGAGGCCGCAAGCGGCACCGCCGAGGCGCCCTCTTCCTTTGAGGAAGGGACCCTGACTCGGAAGGTCGAGTTCAGAGACAGAAGCCAGAGGAAGTTCCGGTCGCTGAAGCCTGGTGAGGCTATTGACAGCTTCGTCCCCCTGCGGGGGTCACGCGCTCCCCCAGTCTCAGGCGAACAAACAGCCAGCATTGGACCGACTCGGTTGGTGAACTCCACTGGGTGCTCTTTGGCATGAAACAGGATGCCCAGTTCGAACCCTGAGCAGGATCCGGAATGCGCAAAGAAGACCAGGTGACCTGCAGCACATCCAAAACTGAATGGAACCAAAGCCACAAGACCAGATGCGAGCCCAAGTCACCGTGGTAGAGGTCCCATCCTGTGCTGGAACATGAACCTCTCATGTGCCCTGCAGCCGTGCATGCTGACAGCCTCAAGACACCAAAGACTGAGATGCAGGCCGCACAACTCCAGCTGCGCTGCTTCCGCGATATCCGAGAAGAGTGCGACAAGGAAGGCGGCCACACGTGCCGAGGACAAGTGCAGCGCCCTGTCGCTGCCTAGGTAAGGCCTCCAGAAAGCATCAAGCTTCCTCATGTCATGATTTGGTGACAGCCAACGCCACGCAAAAGGCATCACACGCATCCCACTCAGGGAGTCAAGGAGCCGCTGCAGCTCCGACACCTCGGCCTCCTGGAGCAGCAACGGAACCCGGTTTGCCGCCCTTTGCCGCCCTTTGCCGCCCTTTGCCGCCCTTTGCCGCCCTTGCCCCGTTCGAACATGCGTCTCTTGCAATTTTTTGCTCTTTGGCTGACACGCCTCGCGTGCACACTGTGAGCGCAAGTAAGGGCACACTCGAGGCACCCGGTTAAAGCGTTCATTGGCCGAATAAGAATTCAGAGTCTGCTCTGAGACACGCATTTGGCAGCTGGAGGTGTTCAATTGGAGTCAAGTCATATGTCTGCTAGAGTTGCCGGCTAGCTGTGCGAAGCAACCTTGCCCTTGAACTCATCCATCTGCAAGCCCATGCATGTCAGCTGTGGGACGGTACGAAGACACCGAAGAGGCATTTGCCCTTCGTTGGTCATTCTCTGTACAGCGCATGCCAAGCTGACCTTGCATTTAGACATTAATCTGCCTCCTTCTTGTGGGGCTCCCTGCAAACATGGCTCTGGAGACTGCTTGTGGGGGCTGACAGACCTTGGGGGTCTGCAGGTCTGTTTTTGGAAACCAGGGAATCGCCATCGTGGTACGGCCTAACAAAGTCCTCTGCACTGGCCTGGCCTCCTCTCGCCCATCGCGATGGTGCATTATGGGCGTGAAAGGAGGCGGAGGTGTTGCACAAACACGCGCAACTCTCAGCTGGGGTGGCTGCAGGTTTTGTGTGGCAGCCCTTGGTGGCAGCAGGAAACTGGGTGCCGGTGACCAAGTGCCACACGGCCCGGCCCCAGCAGCAAAAGTGCCCACAAACCCGGCCTTGCCCGACCGGATACCATCGTGGCAGCTCCGAACCCCTTCCACGCGAGTGGCCAACGCGCAAGGACTTGTGGTTGCATTCACGGTCGTTTGCACCGTTTGGACTCCTACCGGGCATTGCCACGGGGCTGGTGGGGATCGTGATGCCGGTGCGGCGGTCCCCAGATTCGCCGAGGTATCCGTCGCGGTTGCTTCCTCTTCAACATGAGCCACTGGAGCTGGCGTGATCTCCGATGCCTCCGATGCGATCGCTGTGCATGGCACCGTTTCCTTGGCACCTGGGCCCTCAGCTCCTGAAAGCAACGGCGACCGTGGCAGTGGTGGTGGCGGTGACGACGGTGGGGACATGGACCTGAGAACGTTCCTGTTCTGTGGAAGTGGCGACCTGCGAACCCACTGGCCAGGACTCGGCGGAGCGGACACCGGCTTCACTGGCTTGCTTCCTGCTTTGGAAATGTTGAAGTGTGTCTCTTGCAACACGTGTCTCACACCCAGCACTGGGGAGACCAAGGGGCTTTTCGGTACAGTCGCCTGAGGAAAGGTTGCTGCAGCCTTTGTTTCGGTAGGCCTCAAAGGGACGTCCGATTCCTTCTTTGGTGAGCTTTTGGGCTCTGCATGCCCTGAAGGGCCGGAAGGCCCAGAAGGCACTTCACCGGTCCTGGCCGGAAGCCTTAGGCTGCGGGCGGTGTGCACCAGTGGGCCTGCTTCCTTCCTGGCGGCACGGCAGCGCTTTGCTGAAGCACTGCGCTGTATCCCAGTCTTGTCGCGCATGAGCTGGAGCGTCTTGCGGAGATCCCCACCAGAAAAGACTGCATCGCCACACGGCTTCTCTGGAGCAGTCTTCACGTCCGACATCTTCGAATTCCCATGCTCTGCCAGAGCGGGTGATGGATTGCCAATTGGCCTTGATGCGACCAGCCTCTTCGATCCCTTGTCTGATGCATCTCCCTGTCCTGCGGGGTTCAACTCAGAGCAAAGCTAACTCTGCTCCTTCACCGTGTCTTGGACAAAGATGTCCTCCGTGATCGTCAAGCCGATCACCCTTCCTGCCGGGGAGGACCATCAAACTGAAAGATCATGACTTAGGCGAGTAGGTCGTTCTAGGCACAGTAGGCCCAGCAGGCACCCATCCCGTCCTTTGAAGCGGCCGTGTTTGCTTCATCTCTGACAACTTGATGCCCCGAAGAAACTCTCGAGACGAATCCTTGGTCAAAAGCCCACCAATAAAGACCATCACCAAGGTGCACAAGCCACCTGAAGGCACCCCAAAGAAACCAAGACACCCCGCCACTGCAACCCGAAACATCGGCTGGAGCTGCGAACTTGTGCCATGTTGGTGCACTCTCGGGCAGGCGCTTTTACTGCGGGAGGTGCTGGTTCCGGCTTTTCTCCAGTCTTTGCAAGCCGCCCCTTCGACACGTGCAAGAACACAAGAGCTTGACCCACAAGAACCACAAGAAAGCATGATGATGCAGCCTTGAGGTACTCCATGGCAGCATCCGCCTCAGACCTTGCTCTTCGTGGAGATTGTGCGGGTATGTGGGCAAGGTGCACAGAACCAGGACACATCACGACACCAATGAAGTATGAGCACCCTCTGAATAAGGACAAAGAACGATGCTTTTGCCCTTTGCCGCCTCACCGGCCCTGCGGCCTTTCTCTTTTCTTTGAGATACTGCATGACGACATCCTCCGTCTCCTGCACACCAAACTAAGCCAGATCACTTGTGCAATCTTGTGCAGCTTGAGCATGCTCCTCCAACACAACCATGACCGGAGAAGCAGCTCGCAGAAGCCCAGATTTCGCACTACCCTGAATGGCCGCAAATTCTGGTGATGCCTGGTGCTAGGGGTGGTGAGCAAACGGTTCCATGGACTGTTCCAATGGATGCGGACCAGATAGCTTCCAACTATGAGCCCAAGCGCCCAACGGATGCAACATGAGCAAGCATGAGTAGAATGTTTCCGTCAGTTGCTGATGACGAAACACTTGAGGCCTGGCAGGCATATGCATGCACAGAGGGCCCCCCCCTACCTCCCCAAAGAGGTCTGCCGCCGCATCCTTACTGGAAATCCCGCATTGTCATGCGGTAGGAATTTGAATCATCATGAGAAGCTGCATGCCCTGGCATGCCACCACGCCACACTCAAGTCACCGCCAGAAGCCAGGAACTGCAAATAGTTCGACAGCTCCTCGGCCGCTTTATTGCGCGTTGCTCCCCTCTAGCCCTGGGCGTGACACAGAACACGTGAAAGTCTATGCTCGTCTCAAGCTCCTCTGGTACTGGTGAGCCATGCTGCACAAGTCGTTCTACTTCCTGCTCAACGGTCCAGGACAAGCACAAACTGTCACAAACTCTAGTCTACTGGTCTACTGAGTCTACTGACTCATACAGCATGCATACTCCCTCGTACAATGAATGCTCCCTCGGTCCGAGCCTCTGAGCCACAATAGGCCAGCTCAAGCAGCTGCCGAGCCGGGCTCGCCAGGTGTGGGATCATTCGGGCTTCCAAATGGCACACGTCAGACAGCTTGACCAACATGCTTGCCACTCTGCTTGGCATTGCTTTTTTGCATGTGTTGCCTAACAACTCATTGCTGCAGGTGCTGCGGTGCTGCGCAGGTTTTGGGGCCATGCCCTTCCCTCAATCGCATGCCAATGAGGTGTCTCCAGGCAAAGGTTTTGAACTAAAGCTGCAGGCGTCTTGCTGTCTAGGTGACTGCGAACCTGGCGAGGACACAACGGAAGCCTGAGGCAGGCACAGTGCTGGGAACGACCCGCCGATGTAGCAGGCAACAACCTGCAAACACAGGACTGGCTGGGTAGGAAAACAAACATCCGGCCAGCTTCGCCCCGAGGAGCCGGATCTGTGCTGCCGCGCTTGCGCACGGCTGCTGCCAGATCACTCCCATACACCTGGAGACCGCGCCCATGCTGCTTAGACCGAAGGATGGCACAGACAAGTATCCCACATACCTCCATTGCCGTCTCCGCCGCAGCTTTATCCAAGGGTGATCCTTGGAGGACCTGCACAATCCAGTGAGGCCGTCGACGTGCAGCTGACTCGACGAATGTCCGCCTTGTCGAGCATGTAGGTCACGGTCCTGATGTACTCAGGGAGCACCTGCCACAACACATGCTTAGCTTCTGGCTTCTGGGTTTTGAGATGGTTTGCGGCACTGTCTGGTGGGATGTCAGGCCTGAGACGAGCGTGTCACCGCCAATGCTTCGACAGCAAGCGCAGCGGCAGTGGTCACACTGTGTCCCTGAGCCAAAGAGATCAAAGCGACCACAGATGGGATAACTAAACCGTCAATCGTGTCGACATTGTGGCCATCGTTATCAGGACAGTCCTTTGGATCGACCCCTGCTCGCCATTTCTGAAAGAACATCCTGTGGCAAGTAGAGGCATAGGTGTCGTTGTGTGTGCCTGGAGTCGTCATGAACTCAATGTATCGCCGTCGAAAGTCGTCCGCGGAGAAACGGCCCGTGCTCTTGAGGCTTTGCAACAGAACTCGCACCAGCGATGCTTCCAGTGTGTTTTCACCTGCTTCCAAGGTATGGTGGTAATGAAACTGACCATAGCGCCGCCAATACTCTTTCTTGCCATGCAGGATGACTCCTCCGACAACATCTCCTTCACTGCTTCCTCGGCCACCTCCTCCAGTGTTGCTAAGCTGCATGATGGAGTCTGGGTATGGGTGAACCGATCGCTCGAAACCCGACAGAAGCTGGCCACCAAAATCTTCTCGAATCTGGTCCGGACCTCCGTAGTACCAATGCCTTTGTTGAAGGGAGGAGTATGCCAGCCAGAGAGCTGGAGCTGTTAACCACAACACCACTGACAACACTGTTCTAAACTCTAAACTGTTCAGGTCCTGGCACACAGGCATTGCCAGAGCATCACCGGCAAAGAGGCCCCACAAGGCACCAGCTGTCCTCTCGGCAAGAGGCATGGAAGCTGCTGGCATGCCCGGAGTTGGCAGCGCCTCGCACAGCACCCAAGAAAGCACATGCCGCGCACGCATGCTCACCGGACCTTCCGTTCATCAGCTGAGGTGAGCACACCCACCCACAGTACAAGCAGCCAGATTTCGATGGTACCGCGCTTCATCATCGCAGCAAGCGCAAGGCAGACTTGCAGCTAGAGCGTGCTGAACTGAAGAACCTGCTGTGCATTTTGTGGAAACCCGTTTGCAGAGCCGGTGCTTAGTGCCAAAATTCCTTGCCAGCCAAGCACGTCAGGCAAATTTGCAAGAAATAAACAAAGCGAACATGGAGGGGCCCAGGGTGGGCCAGGGCCCTGCCAGTGGCAACCTGCTCGCCGAGTCCAGGACACATGAAAAGCCGGTCTTTGGTGAGACCATGTGAGAACTTCAAGGCGCATTTGCCTCAATGCAATCGACCGGCTCTTTGAAGCGATTCCTTGCATGCCTTTCCCAATCTTCTGCAGGCAAGGCACTGAAGTTGAACCTCGTGGATACAAGATACGTGCAGCAAGTACGGACTCTGCAAGACCCTCAGAGGCCATGGCTCTTCAACGTGTGTCAAACCTTTGTTGTTGGTCAGCTGCTTTTGAAGACTTTAAAGCACGACGAACTAAGGGCTCGTGTCCTCAGGGCCCAGGCTGTGCGCGGCACCTTGCAGTTGGGAACGTCCATCTGCTCGGCAGCTGATGGCAAATGCCTGGGGGAACGCACCCGCCAGCTTGAAGATATCTGAATGTATGTGAAGATGTGTGTCTTATACCAATGTGTAGATTGCACATGTAGAAATATATATATATACATACATATACTTTGTTGGTGGGTCTTGCTTGCTTCCTTTGGGTCCTTCTTTGTTGCTGGTTTTGGTCGCTTGGGTTGTTTTGTCTCCCTTTCTTCGTCGGAAAACCCGAATTTCCTACTTTGCCCTGCAACATCCAGACCTTTTTTGTTTATCATTTTCCTCTGTACTTGAACAAGACACTGGTAGTTATTGCAGCTCGTTGGTTCATTTTTGGCGCTGTGTTGCTGCAGTTTCCTGGGATTAAAAAGAGAATCTCTAGGAATAATCTCGTTTCCTCTAGTTTTGTTGGTAGGCAAACAAAAATCAGTAACCAAACGTTATTTCTTCTACGCACATGCCTCCCGACACAAATGCCGTTCTTTGCTTCCGTGGTGCCTGGGTGATTATTTATCACTTTCGTGCTTGCTTTGTGGCTACAACAGTATAGAAAGCTATCAAGACATGCTCAAGTATACTGTGGTTGAGTGCTTCGGCTTGCTGTTGATTGCAGGTTTACTTATGATGGGTCATGGGGCTCCCTCTTCTCTGCGTTGTTTGAGAAGACCATCCTCTGCTTCTAGATTTTAGAGGAAACCCTTACCACCTCCATACATGACAAAGATACTACTTTTCAATCGGTCAATCTGCGGTTGTTACCAATTAGCCTGGCCAAGTCTTTAACTTGCTACTTGGTTATGGTTTGAGTTTCGCTCAAGTTCACTATCTCATGGTCTCGACATGGGTTCCCTTATATAGACTTATTCTTTCTTCCTCAAGGGTATCCTGCTTTTAGGGAAACGTTGACCTCCAAAGTTGCTAACATCTCCTGTTCAGGGTCCCCAGCAATTATCTTGCGAGCTTGCTTGCCTGTCAACACTTTCGCCGGATTCTGGGGAGGCCGGGGCCAGGAAACCGGGAGAGGAGTACAGGAGATCCGGGCGAGGGGAATGGCTGACTTAACAGCTAGCAACCCCACGCCGAGGGTGGGGAACTTCAGACCATCCTGGGCAAAGATTCATGAATGTAATTCACAGTCTATAAACATATGCCACATGTGCTAGACCTTCGGCGTCTGGAGTGTGAAGGATTGAGTGGGATGGCGACCAGCGGTGCAATCCATGCTTCTGCAACCAGGAGAGTATAGGAAAGTGGTACAAAGTGGTAAACGACAAGGGTCATTTCGGAAAGATGCCACAGCAGGTCACACATGCCGCGAACCCAAGTAGATTGAAAGTAGATCATGTGGCTCTTGGACAATCTTGGGCATGCACGTCCGAGATGTTGAAATGCGGCCTGGAAGGGTATCGGGGGCCAAAACTGCGACTGAAGAGCTTAACCACCCATGGCCTCATCCGAGGCTGGTGCAGACTCTCCTCGACCTAAAAAGCCGGCATGTGCTAACATATGTTCCATGGCTAATGCACTCTGAGACAGGCTCCTTCCAGCCGATCCGGCAAAAATTCCTGAGGAGCCGGGACCATGCAACATGAGCGAATGGCTTGGCGATGTGCAGCTGAAGTTCGACACATTCAATGTCTGCTTCTTGCCCATGACTTCGGAGATGTACCGGTTGAAAGCATCCCATGCCTCGACAAGACCCACGTGACATCTTCGCGTGCGCAACCTAACAATGGCTGTGCCTGTGGCACTTCGTCGGCATTCCGCTTTGCGAGGTTGTGCTGGAAGCTAGCAGCATCCGCCAGCAGCAGCTCAGCCTTATCATTCAGCAGATGAGAGGCAATGATACATGCATGAGGGGGCCCATAGAAGCCGCCATGAGTACAGAGGTCCTCACTGTGTACATTCGCTGCACCACCGCGGCGGTCTTCGCCACTTCGGAAGTGCAACATGAAATTCTGCACAACAAGTTCCCCCAAAGCCAAACCAGAAATGCCAGCGAGTAGGCGTTTTCTGGGCTTTTTAGTAGCTGAATGAGGCGCGCGAAGTGACCCGTATTGGGAAATTTCGACTCGGAAGGGCCCGTGTACCTCTTATGTTGAAATTGTTCATGCTGCTCTTTTATACTCAACAACGAAAACAACAAGGAACATATTTTTGACTAGATATAACAACACTGGCACCTTCAGCACGTTGCGTTCGTCCAACAGGCAGGACTGGACGACAACGTGCGCGGATTTGAGCAACTACGCTCAGACTTTTTCCTCTCCCCCGCCTGGCTATCTTCAGTTATACTTGGGCCAGTGATGCAATTGCACCCTGTCCAAGACCGATGAGGCTGGTAAGCCTTCGCGCTCTCCGCGTCATGGTGCTGTGCTCTGATTCCTTGATTGCTTCTGCTGCTACCGTTCTAGCAGCCCAGTGGCATGCTGGTTCAAAGCTGCACGGCCTTGACGCGAACTGGCCATTCTCTGCAGTGTGACAGGCTGGGGTATGTCATACTCTGACAACGGCTTGGATAATGATTCGTGATTTGCGGTTAGCAAGCAATGTCCACAGTCTACAATCTGTGCTCCAAATTTCTCGGAAGTTCACAAGCAGGGCTTCGTTGCCTGGCAGCATCGCGCTGCTCCTGGCGGGATAGAAACCACACAGGAGCGAGCCTTGTCAAGCCATCCGAAGGCCAATGCAACATGGTCAGGTTGAAGACTGGTTGAACATTTGTATGGCGCAGAGCAGTTCAGCCGTTGGAGAAACAAAAGAAAACAACGACAAGCAAACGAGCGACCGAGCGAACACAAAACAAGAACTCCAACATGCCTTCAACTTGTGAGCGCGGGGAAGCAGCAATTAGGAGGATTTGCTCCGTGCTTTCTTTCTCCTCTCACCTGGCACGGTTCATCGCCCCTCCACCGTCTTGTGCACAGCGCACGGCGCACAATGCGCAGCTCAATGCTGTGCCGCACCCTTCTTGGACTTCTTCTTTTTGCCTTAGCAGCTGCACGTGAGCGCTTAGCTTGGCCCGTATCCAGGTAAAGCTTCGTTGTTTTTTCAAAGGCAGGCCCGCTCTCGCCCCGGTGAACTGCGCAACGTCACAAAGAGTCACATGGAGCCTCCCGAACCCCGGTGCTGAAGACTCGTTTGAGCTCAGAACGTGGAGCATCCTCGTCCTCCTCCTCTTCCACTGCCTCCTCCTCAGTTCCCTTGTGCTTTCGCCTAAGCTCTGTGTACTGCGCCTAGAACTCGTTGAGCTCGTGCTGAGGACAGCGCTTTTTGTCTTTCTTCGCCTACAGAAACTTCGGTCGAATTCAGTCATAGTTGCAAAAAACATGCTGTGACCAGTCGCAACTGTACAGTTCGGCCTTGTCCTTTTTCTTCTTCTTTTTGCCTGTTCCACGCATATTACATATGTATCTTGCATACCAGCAAGCCCGGCTGCGCTGCAACTCCACTGCCGCTCCAGCCTGAATGGTGTGTGGCCAAGTGATCCACAAAGATCTCGAAGCATTCCCTCCGAGTTTGTTCATCCACAGCCTGCAACCCATGAAGCCCTTAGCCCAAGATCATGTCGCCTTATGTCGGATACGGGGAAACCTTGAGCTGCCCCAGCCTTCCAGGCAGACTTCTTGCTCAGAAGACCTTCTGCATCCTGCACAAACATGGCTAAACTCCGGTTCCCTACACAGGAGATGCCAAGAGATGCCAAGAGATTCGCTTCCTAGCGACACCGGTCCTCATAAGTGGTTCCCGCTGAGATCTCTTTTGCCCTCAGCCGCATGCACCATTCCCATCATAACACAGCAACATGCCGCAACCTTCCGTGCAGCTCAGCACTGGACTTCATCAACAAATCCACAAACCTTGGCATGATCGCGTCGATAGCCCACGCTGGCAACACCACAGTCTTGTGCAGCTTGTCACCCCAACTACATACTTACATACTCAGCTACAATGACAACTAGTCTGAAACTAACGTGCGGATACGACGAAAACGATAACTCTGTTCTCTCCACCATCTGCCTGACACGGCCGCGCAGGATTCGGAAAAAGTTGAAAGTTTGACGGGGCCAAGATGCTGCGTTCGGGTCTTCTCCCCATCTGGATCGTCAGATGCACCTGATACGCCACAACGACATGCAAAAAGCCTAAATTCGGAATCGCAGGAGGCATCTGTCACACACACGCGCATGTACCAGTAAGCTTGACAAGCTTGATTCTAAACTGAAGCCAACTGGCAGGATGCAGGAAATGCACTTGGCTGCTGGGGTGACGACCATCTTCATCCTCCTCATCCTTGTTGTCTGCTTTGTCTTCCTTGTCATCGCTATCTTCGTGTTCTGCCTTTTGATCACCATTCTCTGCCTTTCCGCCGGACCTCATGCACATGTGACAGCACTTCGGTGAGAGTGACCTTTTGAAGAAGGCTGGAGAAAGATCGAAAGATCATGTCACCGAATGTCACCGAATGTCACCGAATGTCACCGAATGTCACCGAATGTCACCGAGGCTGTAACTTTTTTCTTGGAGCCGGCCTCGGGCGTCGCCGAGGAGGCCGGTACGGAGACGGAGAGAGAGAGAGAGAGAGAGAGAGAGAGAGAGAGAGAGAAAAAAAAAAAAAAAGAGAGAGAGAGAGAGAGAACAAAAAAAACATCAAAAAAAAAAAGAAAGAACGAACGAAGGAAAGAAACGGAACAGAGGGAGAGAGGGAGAGAGGAGAGAAAGACAGCGCAACGCAGAGCAACCCGAGCCACATCAACACGACATGTCAAGGAAACGGACCCACCACCGGCATCTGCATCTGCCTGCCTTAGTTTCAGCTGTGTCCCACCGACTAGCAGCTCCGCTATGCGAACCTCTGCGCTGTTCAGAAACGTTGCGCGGTTTTTGCACTGCCGAACAGTGGGGTAGCTAGGTAGCTGAAGGCAGCTTTGTTTGAATTCGATGAACGTCTGAAGCCACATGGTCGACCGAGCGCAACCAGTCGCTGAACGCAGGTCTACAAGCTTCTACAGGGCATTGCCCATGTGGCCAGAACCAAGCTATGAATCTTTCAATCAATAGGCCGCCAGGACAGCACTCTTAAGCCATCACGGCACTCAACTACCACCTCGCAAATGCCAGGCAGATAGTTTCATCAGCTGTGAATGGAAAGCTGTGTAAGCACTGCAGCCTCCAGAAAAGGAAGAGTTGAAAGTCATAACTCGGTCAGCACGGGCTACATCGCATAGCTGGCCGAGTGGCAAGGAAAATGTGCATGCTATCGCACATGGCAGCGGTGCCAGTTTTCATGCTGAGCCTCCATCAATTGATGGGACAAAAGCAGATCCAGGACTAGAATTCGCCCTGCATGCGGAAGCCCTTCTGTCTGAGCATGTCGGGAATCTGGCCTTGGCGGCGCAGCAAAGTGTAAGCTTGTCAACGGTTCCGTCACATCGGCAGATGGTTCTGAGGCCAAGTCTGTAGGAGTACTGTGTGAGGTCGATCCTCTCCTGCTTGGCCAATTCGGGGCCATGCAAGGATTTATGCACTTCATTGCGGTGCTGTCCCCAAAATCCTTCTCGCTCCCATTCTCCACAACTACAAGGTCAGGGTTGTGTCCCTGCACCCAGCGAACCTGCCAAAACAGGGACGGAACGAAACGTACTTCAGCCACTTTAGCCGTGCTTCTCATGCTGCACATGGACACATGGACACATGGACACAGACCTCGAGATTCTGCCACTCTTTCCAGCGCTGCTCCTCCTTCAGCCACCGGCGGACATCAGCGAAGTGATTCAGTTTTCAGCCTGGCGTGATAGGTCACGAGCGTGAGCACACAGTAAAGAAACAAAAATGAAGCGTTGGACGCAAGAGAATCTGCAAGCACCGGAAAGCACTTACACAGCCAAGGCACCCTGGCACGACATGATAATGCCTGAGCACCAGAGGCTCGTGAACATGCAGCGGTGCATGGCGGCTGTGCAGCACTCAGAAACATTCAGCAACTCCTTGAGCATCTTTTGTGTCCACTTGTCTGTTCACTTGCGCCAAGTTGCCCTTTGCAGCCGGCTTCGAGTCGGCTACGGCATCCAGCATCGCACACCCACGATCCTCGCAATGCCCATCCTGTCAGTCGCCGTAGCTCTTAGAGTCTTAGAGTCCACGCACGACTGAAAGTGTGAAAACGCTGGACTCTGCAGACGTGAACTCGTGCTAACTCGTGCTGGGGCACTGCATCGCACGACTTTGCCATACAGAACTTGCCATCTTCGGCTTTCGCCTCTTCGAGCCACAACAAGCAACGAAAGCGTTAAGGAACTATTGGGACATGTTGCGACATGTTGGGACACGTTGGGACATGTCTTGCGAGTCTTGCCCGCGGCCTTGGCCTCGACCAGGCTCGCCCCTAGCAATAGGGCAAACGCCTCGGCTACGGCTCAGCCTTCAGATCCATGACCGATGCGCCAAACGCCTCGCAATCTGTGCACCTGTTGACATGATTCAGGCTTGTCATCGATTTCGGAGCCCGATCTCGGACATGGCACTGCGACATTGGCCATCCTAGCCGCCATCCTGGCCGCCATGGCTCCCCACGGCCCCTTGGGCCAAGATCCTGGAACAGATGCTGCGATCTTATCAAATTCCCCCCTGGCAGATCCGCCTCATTCTTGCAGATTCTTGCAGGCAAGAAAGGAGGAAGCCATATTAGGAAATATCTTGGTCTGGGCTTTCCACGCATCATCTGCCTGCCTCGGGGCCTGGGCGCCGCAAGCGCTGCTCACTGGGAGACATGTTTCTGAGGACTCAGCGCTCCACCCCAAGTTCTGGATCATCAAAGTCCACTGTTAACCAAGCCTCGACAGGCACTCCAATCTGCAGTGGCGTGTGCTGATCTAGATGGCACATGATGGCACATGATGGCAGCATTTACAAGCTACGCTTCACCGAGGTTGCCGCCCTGTCCGTTGGAGCCTGGTTCTGTTTGAGCTGCATAGGGACCTTGTAGCTACAACACGTGTGTCAGTTGTTCCTTCTCAGACAGCCGCACCGTCCGACATGGAACGAGACAGGACAGACCTCTCAAGAAGTTGGGGGATCACAAGTCAAGGCCAGGGCCAGGATCTGTGCACCGTGATACAGCTGCACGTCCTGCACAGCGTTGTGAAGTCAGAGCACGCACTCTCGCTGACGCAGGCGAGCTCGTGCCTTCTCCTTCTTCGTCTGAACCTGAGCAAGGATGTCCACTATTCTCTATTGTGTTCGGAAAAGCAAACGCGGGAGGTAACCCGCCCCCGCCCGCCCCCTCATTCTCTGTGCTGCTCTTTCACCATCGCTCGGGGCTCACAAGACATGGCCATCATCTGCCTAGGGCCGTGCCATCACTTCTGCGCGATGTCGTCGGGAGTCTCGCCGGCATCATTGCGCAAGTCCCGCGAGGCGCCGTGGGCAACAAGCACATCCGCAGCCTGCTTCCTGCCGTGGATCTGGGCACAATGTAGAGGCGTGCATCCATCCTTCTTGCGCTGCACGTTGGCGCTGCACCGTGCTTCGAGAAGGAGACGTAGGAGGCCAACGTGACCTGCATTCGCAAATCCGAAAAGCAAAGTGTCCTTCACGTCCTGGCACATGCTCTCTTTCAGGGCAGCTGTCAGAGCACGGCCGCCGCCTTCATCGTCACGCAATCGGAGGAGACGCCGCTTCTGTGCAGAGACCGGCAGACTAGCGTCAGACTGCTGTGGCACAATCTTCCGCAGGGCGTGAATGGCACGAACCGCCGCTGACACACCAGACTGCCCAAAGTGGAACTCTTGCCCAAGAGCCTTGTAGGCAGCGTCTTTGCCAAGCGAAAGGCGTGCACATTCTAGCAACACATGACCCTGCTCTCGCAGCATCCTGAGTTCTGACGACCCTGGTATCCCCAACGGCTCCTGTGTTCCCTTCTTTGTCTGTTCAGCTGCCCCGCATGCAGGGCAATGCCAGATGCCGTCCCCAGGTGACAGGAATCGAAGGCCAGTGTACGCAAAATTGCCACAAGTTTGACAAGCGCAGGGGAGCTCGAGCCGACAAGGTTCTTGAATTGAACGGAACTCCATCTTCTCACCACAGAAACACCAAACCGTCCAACCACCAGACGACTCTTGAGGCAGCACTGCCAGACCATCGTTGCCCTGCTCCCAGCCCTTGCACATGTCATCTGGTGGAGCACACCAGTGAAACTCCGCTGGGTTGTCATCGACCCTGAAACGCAACGGCTTCTCCTCACCAAGACACCCACACACACACACAGACACACACATGAGGGCAAGCACCCCCCCCCCGCCCCCCGCAAAAACATACTCATGGCGACTGTGTCCTGCACGCCTACTAAAACGAAATGCTTGCTCTGAACCGGGCAGGGGGTCAGGGTCCGAGATGCTCCAAGACTGAATCAGCAGAAAGTTAATGGAGCCAGCCAGCTGCGGCAGCAAATTCAACTCCGAAGGTGCTCCTCGGAATCTTCGCACCCGCTTCGGAGCCCCAGCTCCTTCATCTGGACACCCCGTTGGGCTCCACATGGTCAAAGTCGAGCCATGCAAGGTCAGTGCCCGCGATTGCTCGCGGCTTGAGCCACTATTGCTGTGGGTTTGAGTCTCATGACATGTCGCGGAAGCAACTGTGTTCGTGATGTTACTTAGCTCAACCGCCGCTCAGGAGGGAAGGGGGAAACGGCGCAAGGCAAACAACAACAACTTAAATTCAGCAACTTCCACTTGGGGGTGCATGTTCCCTTGTGCATGTGGGCATCAATCATCTTCGCTGTCAACTTATAGGCTTATAGGGTTTACAGCTTAATACCTCACGTCTCGGACGAGCCTACCGTGGATTCTACCGGTGGCACGAGTACAGGAGCCCTCTTCTGGGAGTAAAAGGAGGTGGGTGCAGGCACCTGATCAAACCAAGGCGATCTTAATAGACGTGGGGGTAAGACCACGAGCATCACTCGCTTGCTTGCATCCCGGGTTGTTACACTGCGAACCTCCAATCGGAAAACACGCCGCAAACCATCCAAGGGTTAGAAGGAGTCTTTGGGCAAGAACGAACAATAAACTGAACACCTGTGTGATGGAGCGCAAAAAACTTGCGCCTCTTAAGCCTTAGTGGCTTAGTGCTTTCCAGCCCTTCCTCAAGCTTTCTCGGGGGGGGGGGGGGGGGGTTGATTCAAATGACAACGCGAAGGGATCTCACCCGAGGAAGTCGCAACGACTCGCATCCAACCAAACTGTTATTGAAAAAAGGTCGATGCTTTTTACCAGCGAACAGCTTTGCCGACTGACATGGTCGATCCGATGTGCTTCTTGAGCAGTTGCGAGGCGGGGAGGCGTGCGGCCGCGACTGCAGATTGTGGGCCAACGAGCATGACCTGCCAGCAGAGGCGCCAAGCAACGCCCTCTCCCTCTCCCCAAAAATATACACGCACACACACACACACACACAAATCCGCCGAGGCCCCGGGCCGAAGGTGTAGAGGTTGTGAGAATAAGCACCCCCCTCACCCCCCCCCACCCCCCCCGCACCCCCCCCCTTTCCCCCCCCCTCCCCGGATATTCATGAACGGCCCTGCACGCCTATGTGACCCTGTGCAGCTGCGGATGCCGCGAGCATGCGCCGGGCGCTGCGCTGGGCCAGGCCGAGGCGGGTCGCGTAGCGTTAAAATTATAACACACACACACACACACACACACACACACACACACACACACACACACACACACACACACACACACACACACACACACACACACACACACACGCAAAAGAAAAAAAAAAAGTGGCCCGCCGAGGCATTGAGAGTTTATGCAAAGTCAGATGCTTTCAGTGGAAGTGGCTTGTGCTGGCCGGGAAAGTCGGAGCTCCACATCATAGTCTGTACTGAAACTCGCCAGATCTGCCCGCAGCCGCGTCACATCCAACAAACCCTCCACCCCTTCTGGCAGGTCTCCTGAGGTCTCGCACTGTGGCTCCACAAGCACACAGGCACCGTCTTGGAAGGACTGGGCAAAAGCCAGTTCGCAGTCTTCCGGGTCCTGGTCATACAGCTTTTGCCAGTTCCGCCCTGGCGATTGTATTTGTCGGATGCAGTCGCCTAAGCGTAGACCAGGTTGGCCCGGCAGGTCCTCAATCTCGTCCACGAGCATCCCATGCCAGGAAGGCCGCAGATGAACACCCGCACCAAAGTCCGAAGAAACCTTCGAGCAGCTCAAGAAGACCTAATTACTGGCAACAACTGCAGGCAGAAACAACAATAGAAACCGATGCGTTGCCGTTTCGTCTCAGCATCACCATGCGCCCTCGCTGAGCAGATCCAGCTGTCGTCAACGTTACAATTAAGACAACTACTAGGAAGGCCCAACTGCTGCTTCTGCATGCTGGTGTCTTGTGTTTGATAGGATCTGCTCGGTTGGGCGAGAGCTTTGGGTGTTCGGGCGTGTCTCCCAATTTGACATACGTAATCTCACCCGTCACGCTGCTAGATAGATGGCGATTCCTCGGTGTGCCCGTGATCTGCTAAACGTTCTGGGGCCCGTTAGCGTTGGCATCCCTTAGGCTTGCATGATCTTGCATGGTTGCGACAAGATGCTTGTAATCGGATCTTGCGCGGGGCTTCACATTCAAAAAAGCCGGGCGGAGCGAACTCAAACTGGGCCGACCCCATGTCTGCGTAGCCCCGACCTTCACTGAGCGGAGGCGATGTCAAAAGGGAAGGGTGCTCGTATCGCCCACTGTGCAGCGTCATTTCTTTCTGCCAAGCCCAGAGACTCGAGTTGCTCAAGTACGAAGGCGAATGCATCTTGTGGCGAGAGGGTCATGTCCACCCTAATGTGCGCGCCAAAGGCTGCGACTTCGGCATCCGTGACAGGTTCCATGAGATTTGCCGTGCATCGCAGGATCGATGACAAGTCCGTCCTGTTTGCAGAGGCAGTCGTGGAATGTTGCATCATGGCGTGCCACCATCAAAGAATCGGAAGCACACAAGCTCTCCATAGCTCTCCCACTCTACTCTCTTCGACGACCATGCCTGTTCCCAGAGAGCGTTTGGTGGTCCGCGCGCTGCAGGATGCGAGTTTCGGCGAGGCGCAAGGCGCCCTCTCCAGCATCCTGGCCTCTCAAAAGGAAGCACTTCTGACAGCACTCTCTCTCAGACTCTCAGCGCCGCCCCAAAAATATCAAAGCTCCACTGTCCTGGAGGGTCAAGGGGGTGGTGCAAGGAAAGCAGCACCGCCGTGCCATCACCGTGGAGCACCTCCAGAATCTCCGCTCGATGGCGCCGGAGGGAGTTGACCCGATCTAGAACCAGCACCGATGCTGTTGCCTGCCGGACCTGGCGCCATGAAAAGTTTAAGCCGAGAAAAACTGGAAAGTGAAAGATATGACAACATCACCGGGTTTTGCCAGCACCTCTTCCAGGAATGAAGCGCGGCGCGCGTCCTTGCCATGATGCGCATAGTCATCTTGACCTTTGCTCGAAAAAGCAACCGCAAGTTGCTGGCACACCACGGCACACTCCGAAAGTCAGACCCCGAAGACCACAGGAAGCCAATGAAATAAAGGCAAAGAATGCACACAAGAAATTAGTCCAGGGATCTGATGTAAGCAGCCTTCAGCTCAGAAGCAAGTGCTCGGGCCAAAGTCGTTTTTCCAGACCCCATGATCCCTCTCAGGACAAGCCTTCCACACAAGTCAGACAAACTCACAGCTACATGCAGGACACCATGTCGTCATACTGCGACTCATACTGCGACTGTCTCACTTGGCATCTGGCCTAAGCTGCCAGCCACTTCTCTGTGGAGCAACGGGCCGTTTTTCGGGAAGAACAATGGGAGAGGCATTCGGAGAGCCGGAGATATAGCTCTCCAAGGAAGCCAGTAACGCTTCGCTGCTGACCGGAGAGCTCCTGAGCCAAATTAAGCATGCAAGGCACTCCCCAAGCCCCAAAACGAATGAACTAGTCTGCAACACACAATGGCAATATCCGGCAATCTGAGTGGCAGCTCTTGTTGCCTCCCCCAAGCAACGAACACTGTGTCTGTTGAGGGCTGCCCCGTTGTCTTGTCAGTGTGCCTTTTCAAGTCAGCCACAACCCCACCGATGTCAAGCCGCGCGCCCAATTGCAAAAGTCGCTGGCAGGCCTGGGGCCAATTCTTGCCATTGCTCAAAAAACGAGCACAGCTCATCCGCACAGCTTCGCCAAATCTCCAAACCTACCCCGAACTCATCCCTTCGGGAGCTAATTACGTCAAACTGGAGGAGGTAAACACGGAAAAGACTTGAAAACGTCTTGATGTGTGGGCGCACTCCCGCCTCCGAACTCGTAAAGGTCACGAGGGCGCAGCCGATGGAGTCATGCTTCTGCACGTGCAAGATGTGCTTTGACTTGGTCAGCGCTGCCGACACCTGATCTCGGGTCCGCTCGATGACCTGCCGGCCTCGCCGCAGAAGCTCACCGTGCTCCAGCGCAAGCACCTCCTCTGCAGCTGAAATCCAGGGAGCCACCAGCGTTCCACCAGGTAAGTCCTTGACCAGCTCGCCGGCCAGCACGCCGAAACATGTGAAATAGTCACACCCTTCTTGGGTCCGACACCAACTCTTGGCCATCGATGCTGATTTGTCTACTAATCTTGAGCTGGAGATGCCGTTCTTTCGGACTGGGCGCAAGAGTGTCGTCACAAAAGTGTAGCGTGGAAGTTTCCATTTCACACGAAGTGATGGCTTGCCCGAATAATGGTAGTGCATCACCAATCCCTCCAGTGTATCGGAATCAATTATGTCCGCGTGCTCCCGAAACTGCTCGACGGGTAAGCCATAACGAGCCAGAAGACGCATCGTTGTCTTCAGGGTGAGGAAGTCACGCATGGCCTCCAGCTCATCCACAATTCGCTGCACCTTGCTCGATGGAACTTCTAGTTGCTGCACACAACGAAAACCACATTCCTGCGCGAGAGTTCTCATCTCCGACAAGGGTAGATGCAGAAGGAGCGATGCATCATCTTGTTCTGCTCTGTACTGATTGTCATATTTGCCTGCACACGTTATCATGGCAGCGTCTTTGTGATAGGAATAACCATGTCCTTGGTCAGACATGCTCAGGCACTCACCACACAAGTAGGTCTTCCTGTCTGCAAGGAGCTTGATTGCGAACGGAAGCGTGTCGCCCAGCTCAGATGCAATCACATCAGCTGCTAGTTGCGTGAAGTCTTCCAGAGGCGATTGGACGCAGTTGGCACTATTCTTGGACGTAACGACCCAGTAGTAATTATTTTCGTGAGAGAATGCCAGCAATGCAAACAGAAAGCCAGACCACTTGATCGTAAGTGACAAGCGGGAAACACCTTCTGTTGATATTGATCTGTACTCGGCATCATTCTTGAACTTCGGGTAAAAGCCACACAGGTGCAACCGCTGTCCTGGCTGCCAAATCACAGGGTAGCCCCTCGGGAAGCAATGATCCTCACCAAGATTCCTGAGCAACTCTGTATCCTTGGATGTGATCATTACGATAAAGAAATCTGCCAAGTTGAGGCTCCAGAGATGTACACGTAGCCCTTCGTGGCACTGGAGCAGCCCATGAAGTCGCCGAGCCCTGGCCCCTCCAGAGTCCCAAAGCGCCTGCCGAAACTGGACCTTTAGGCCCGCATCCTCGTTCCACACCGGCAGCAGCCGCGTGACGGATGGGGCCATGCGGAACACGTTGGCAACCAATGGTACTGCACTATACCGGGCTACCTTCTGATGTCAGCTGCGGCGCGCCTGAAAGTCAAGAAAACCTGTCTTCACCCGCCTAGGGGCCTAGAGCGACAGCCCCGTGCTTAACCTTAGCCCAGGCCAAGGACTCGACAGCTGGCTTGTCACCATGTTTCAGACCTGTCCCATTCATGGAGAGGTCCCGCACCTTGGACACAACTCACACGCCGCAACTGGAGTGCATTGTCTGCTTCAGCATTGTGATCTACATTGCTGGGGCCGCAGGTTTAAAGCTTGCTCAGGCATGCAAGAGCTTTCAAATTGGAGTTTAACGTTGTGGTCGCTGGTTCATCTGATCCAGGGCAGCTTCAGGTCGGATACTTCGTATTGTTGTGGCCTCACTCTGCAGAATGCTTTCCAAACTTTCCAAAGTTGGTGACTCGTTCTAGTGTTGAGTGCTCATGTCGCTCTACGTTTGCTGTGCATATCAGTCGCCCTGGCTTGGTCCCACCTTGAGAGATTGAGCTGGCTCTGACAGAGTGTCCTAGGGCCAGACCACCAATCTTGGCGGGCTGTCCTCGTCCTGTCACCGAAGCAACGCAAACACAGGCCATGGCCTTTGATCTTCAACCACATCTCTCATCCCCTGTATTCCCCTGTTTACAGAAGTTACAGAAGCACTCGCGTTCGATTCGAGGCCTTCGCCGGGAGAAGGCGGATCTCCGCATGGAACTGCCTCGGCTTGAGCTACGAGTCTCAGCTTAGCAAGCGCCATGCGCATGCCGACTGCAGTCCGACTGATCCATCGCAGCCTGGCTACGAGCACCCTCTCAGCTCAACTTGGATGTCGTTTCCAGGAGCTCTGCCTTGGGATTGCGACGTGACCACACGCACATCAACACACATTACACACCAGTCCAGTCTACAAACTTGCCCAGATCAACAGGCAGCTTTTTTGAGCAACTGCAGTCGGCTATCAGCACGACAACGACAGTTGGTCGAGGGCTTTTGTCCTCAAGCCGGCTGCGACCGCATGACCCTGACATCGTCTTCAGCTTGCTTTGAAAGGAGCCAGCTGAGCTCAATCAGAGATCGAAGCTGGAGGAACTCACTCTTGCTGTTAAAGTCTAGAGCAGCTTCTGACGACCGCCCTTCTGTGGCTGCGCTTTAAGCAGCTCTTGCAACCTTGGTTGCGCTTTGGCGAGACAAAAACACAGAATAGCTACTGCAAACTCCAAACCGAGCAGCCTTCCGCGGCAAGCGCCTACCTTGGCAGGCATAAGCAGTAAGCAGCTTGCAGTTGTAGCAACTGGTCGATGCAGCCTGTCCCGACAATTGATGCTTACACCAGGCCACCGCAAGCTTGAAAGAGGGAATGTCTGGATGTAGCTCCTTCAAAAGTTCAAGTGGGCTCCGTACTCGAACCACGTGTTAAGAACTATGACTACGGAGTCGTGGGCGTTGATTTGAGGCTGCGGAGAACTGGTTCCACACCAGAAGCTCTGGAAGTAGGAACGTGGTGTGTATTCCACGGTGTATGAACCGCGAGAAACTGAGTCGGGCCGCGCTGAGGGTGTGGCAAAAATCACAAAAACTCAGCCTGACGACGAGACGTCCGACTTGAGAGCCAAACGCTATCAACAGATTGCTTAAGCAACCAGTGCAAAAGCTTGGTATGTAGCAAATGGTTCAGAAGCTGCCTCCACACAGGATTGGCCGCAAAAGTTTTGACCGACTGATTCTCCCGACCGTCGGGGGGGTACAAGCTGCGTGACTTGAATGACACCAGACATTTCATGCAAGCTAAGTGGTTGCAAAGCCCTCGTCCTTCTGCTGCATCTCTTCATGCAGCTCCATTGAGTAGAGGTATTTCCTTCCGGGAGCCCAGCATCAGTAGCTCGGGTTTACTTGACAGGGCCAGAGTTGGCTCAAGCATGCTCAGTGTCATCCGAAGAGCTTAGCAAGGGATCACAGAGGCGTAGCATGCTCGGTTTTGAAAGGACCAGCATGGGTAGTGATGCTCAATGCTGCACTCTAGATCCTGAGGAAAATATCCAAGATACAAGGCAACAGAGTCAACAGAGAGGCAACAAATGAGACAGACTTCATCCCAGGATGCCTCGCTCGGTTGCACACTGAAGCCACTGCCCCATACGTGATCACATTTGGAAGCACCTGCACGACCAACGTCTGCTTTGATTCATTGATTAGAGTCATTAGAGGTCGCGCCGTACAAATTCTGGACGGCGCACATCATCGGACTATCTTGGTTTAGCCTCGCTTAATCAGCCGTGTCTCTGCACATGGTTTGGGGTCGAGAACTGAAGTACCGAGGAGGGTGCACGATGTTGCTGGTTTGTGGCGAAGTTTTCTGCGGGACTCGCACCTCTCTGGCCGGCATCTCGCGCAACATCCATAAGGCTCGCTGCCAGTTGAAGGTCGTGATTACGGCGCCATACAGAATGACCTGCATGCAGGGCTATGTTGAAGCACCTGATTGCAGTGCAGGTCCTGTGGGCCTTGTTCTTTTCGGATTTGTCGGCACCTGTGCGCTCCATTTCGTGCAAGAAATAGAGTGCAGAGCGCCACCTTGGTGGTCTCTGAAAGTTTGAAGCTGCAACAAGAATTGAGACTTCGCAACAAGTGGCGCGGTGTGCAGGACGGGGGGCTGCTTGGCACGGACGCAGGCCGTGACAAGAGTGGCATACGTCACACCTTTCACCGGAAGGTCTCGAGCCTGCGGACAGATTCTTCAGAGGTTCTGGGCCATACTACGACCTCGACTGTAGATTGAATTGCTGTTCGTTAAAGGTTGCTCGAAGGCCAGGAATGGCTGTGATGTTTACGTTCGAGGGCATGCGGTATGCAATGGCTTCGGCTGTGTGGCAAACACGGGGAAACAGCGATCCCTTCGGCCTAGGGTCCGGCCACGAGGGGCCCTCATGCATGTTTCGGAGCGGAGACAAAGCAGATTAAGAAATCCTGTTGATCCCCACCCATATAAAGTAGCACACATGCCACACAGCCCACCCCACCCCTGCCCCGCCCAAAACAAGGAGCAAACAAAGCTCAAACAAACAACAAGAGATGTCCTCTAAGCATGCCCTTAATCTAAAAGTTGGGTGCTAATAAGAGTCATGTTGGCCAACCCGTGTCCATCTCGTCCCTGCCTGCATCTCGTTTAGCAGCTCCTGGGACGAACTCGCAGCTTGAAGCACTGGCGTACTGGCGTTCACTTGAGTTCGTCTGGCTAATGAACGTTATTGAACGTTGCTCACACGAAAAGAGAGGTGCTGCTGCTTCAAAGCATCGGTTGCCAACTGCCATCTGCCGCTTCCGGAGCACGCGAAGATGCCTTCCTCAAAGCTGGCCGCATCATCTGGGGAAACCTCCTGCGAAGAAAGAAGAGGTCTCTCCATCACCAGAATCCACACATATCCACACGCTCTCCTGCAAAAGCATGAGTGCCTGCTCCCAGTGCCTGGCGGCTTGAAAGGCACCTCGGGTCTTCCGCCATGGCACCTTTCCTCTAATTCACCCCCGACTTCCCTGTTGGCCAAGGAACGCAAGCAGCTTCGGTACATCTGCGGCCTAGGGCTGCAGCCACACAATCCTTTCAAAACCTGTGAGATGCCAGCTTCTCAGCCAAGCGTCGTTGGCGGCAAGCCCTGCGCAACATTACACAACCATCAGCTGCAATGTCGAGCAGTATTCCGGGAACTATGAGTGATGCCTCTTCTCTCATCTGCCGAATCAGCTCAAGTGCTTGATCTAGATCGCCCACCCTGGTCAGGAAGATCAGTTGCAACCAGAATAAGATGCGCAGCTTGGACTGACCGGCTGTGCCTCGCATGTGCTGCAATTGCCTGAGAAGCTGTCTCTTGACACAGGGGCATTCAGAATTCCCGCAAAACATCTGATTGATCGGCAGGGCCCGCCTGGTTGTACAGCCTCGCGGCTGGAGGCAGCTTTCTCTTGCGCATGTCAGCAAGAAGCCGGGATGCTGCGAGTGCTGAACTTGAACTCCTTGCTTTGGAACCTGTCACCTTGAGAAGTGATGATGACGCCTCACAAAGTGCCCCCAGGGCATCATCGAGACCCTGATCTCCACCCAGGGTGGCTTGCTCCTCGGCCAGCAGGCCAATGACCTGTTGCCAGCTATGTCCGCAGGACCATGCCTTCATTGCCGCCTTGTACATCTGCTTATCTGTGCCTGCAGCGTCTCGCGACTCTGCAAAGACTCTCAAGGCCGTGCGCCATTGCTTTTGCCTCGTGAGTGCTGTCATGGCAGATGCAACCTCATTGGTGGTCATTGCTTCGGGACAGCTGCGCAACCCCTCAAGCAGTTCCAGCACTTGCTCCCAGCTGCCAAAGTTCGAGCACATATTTAAAAGCAGCTGGAACATCGGCATGCAGCTTCCGTCAGGACCCTTCGAAGCCGCTGACCAAAAAGTCAAACCTTCAGACTGAGCTCTGAAGTCGGAGATCAAGCCCAGCGCACGCTGCCACTGCTTCGCACGCACAAGGCCCCAGGCTGCATTTGCGTAGATTTCGCCAATCTGAGGGGTTTCCGGGGTTTGGGATCGTAGCAGGCGTTGGTGGAGCAGAAGCACTTCCCGCCACTGGCCACTCTCGCTTGCGGCCGTCATGATCGCTTGGCTGGCATCGGAGTCGGACTCGAAGACTTCCATCAGCTCCTGCAGCGCCGCCTTTCTTCTCAGGCTCGGGCTGCTCGTGCTGCTCGGGTCTCTCTGACCTCTTTCGAATGGTCCGAATCGCTGAGTCCGCACCCCGGCGAATGGGCCGACGGGCCGGGCATCCTGCCCATGGTGGCCGACCAGAAACATCGACATCGCAGCTGCGATGCTGTTGGTATCCCTGCTTGCCTTCTAAGCTAAGAGGCTACTGAAGAGGGCTGGAACTGCCAAGGGCGCCCTGTGGTTTCAGATGTTTGCTCTTGTTGCCTTCGTGTAGGTGGCCGCTACACCGAAATGGCTACAGCATACTGCAGCATACTCGTTCGACAGAAGACCGACAGGAGGCGAATGCAAAGCTGCCAGTGCGCGTGCATGCAGGTGAAGCAACAAGGCAAGGAATTGCACAAGCAACAAATACTGTCGCTGTCAGGGGCGAAGCCAATGCGGACACACTTCTGCTTGTCCGCCTCTAGCGAGAAGTGCTTTGGCCTTCAGCTATGGCAACATCATTCCCCGGAACAACATGACAACGATGCTGCCAACGCCACTTCCTGGACTACAAACCTTTTTCGCAGATGGCTCCGATCACAGTAAGTCATTTGCTAACACTATGAATGAACACATGGATGCCAAAAGACATGCATAATTCTCTCTCCGTGCTATGCTCACCTCATTCCACTCATCCTGATAGCGTCGTCGCGTCGTCGTCTCGTCCTCCTGTCTTGCTCTTCTTCTTGACCATCTCCCGGTCTCTCGCACATGGCATAGGCTCCACTTATGCGACCAAAGCTTTCCAGCAACGTGTATCTTCCAAACCGCGGGATCCGGATGGCTCCTTCAAGGCTACCCCTCCATTCTCCCAAACCGTTCCTCTGCTTCGGACTCATCCCTGCACTGGTTGAAAGTGGCTGTGCTCGAAGAATGCCTCACCTGCTACACTTCGTAAAGGGTCTTGCTTGCCTGCAGCGTTGTTGCCAATTTGTGCTCGTTCTCCGAGTCTGGCAGCTTCGTGAATTGGCGAAGTCTGTCTGAGGTGATGGCCTGAAGCTTCTCGTCTACGACCCTCCGCACTTTGGCATTCAAGCGCTTCGCGTCAACTTCTTGCCAAGGTTCCTTGGATAAGTTGGACACGAGGTCAATGAGGGTCTGAAAGCCGCAGAGTGACAGCCGAACCTGTGTAAGAAGTTCAGGCACATCGTGGGCTCGTTGCGTGTCAACACCGGCCCAGCGCTTTATCAGTTCCAAAGCATCAGCCTCGTCTTCCACATGCAACGCTTCGCTGGCCAGAATGGCCTGCATGCACGCTGCATCAAGCTCCATCAGTTCTGCTGGGAGTACCTGTCCTCCTCGTCCTTTCACATCGACGGACTGAGCCAGCGTGTCGGCTGCTGCCCGGGCAATGTTGGCAACAGAAAATCTAAGCCCCAGCTTCAAGTACGGTGCCGCATTCTTGGTGGAAATGCGTGCTCTTGACATCATCATCTCGCCATAGGTCGCTTTCAGGTCATCCAAGTCCCAGGCATCTGCGAAATGTAAGAGCTCATGGGTTTCGTCCAGTGGCCGAACCTGAAAGGTTATGCAGCCTTCAAGCATGAAACGGATGGCAGTCTCCAAGATCTCCGGCGCGACATCATCGACCTCGACCACTGGGTGGATTGCCCCTTCTTCCTGCCCTGTCATGGCGTGAGACTGCATGAGTGCCTTGAAAGGGGAGCTCCAGGTTGCCACAACATCTCGTCGGCACTTAAAGAGAGCTCCGCCGGCTTTTAGGGACACGTCACTGGAGGCATGGAGAATTTTCAGCTGCCGAGCCAAGGCACGAAGTGCAGCTCTCAAGGCCGGACCATCATCCCAACGATCCCCTTCTGGGCCATCGGTATGGTCTGGGCCATCGGCGTGCTCTGGCTCGACCGACTCCTCCTCTTCCATCTCTTCCTCGTCCTCATGACCATCATCGCGACCATCGTGGCTCTCGTGATTCTCGGGGTCTGCCTGGTCCTGGACCCCCTCCGCTTTGCCAGGCGCTCTGTCATACGCTTCTTCTGGCATGGCAGCAGCAGGCCCATGCAGCCTGGCGAGCCTACGTCAGTAGCGAGCTCATGGATCAAAAGCTGCCAGGCAAGCCTGTGACTCATGGACACACCATGTTGGCAAACATATGACAACAGACAACAGCGCAAGCACTGCAGCACTGAGAAAGGCACCCCCTGGTCGAAGCACCTCAGTGATCCAAACCCTGTGCCAGTGCCCAAGCCGTGCTAGCCATAACACCATAGAAAGTCAGGCCCTGGCATCCTGACCCTTCAGGCGTGATCGTGAAACCTAGCGTTGTCACGCCTGCCATGACCTGCACAGAAAGAGAATTCTCTGAGGCGGTCTCCCCATGTCTCCCCATGTCTCCCCATGTCTCCCCATGTCTGTCCTGTCCCCAGCCGGCGCGCAAGGCTGCCGGCCAAAGGGAACCCTCCCGTGCCAAAATGCTGCATGAGGGCAGGACTTACTTGAACTAGCTGTTTAGAAGCACAGAGGAAGGCGTCACTCTTGTCCACACACACACACACACACACACACTCGCACGACAACTGCAGCAGCGGTTCCTGTTTCGCTTCTTTTTCGATGGATGCTTCTCTCGACCTACGCCTCCCGCGGCGCTGAGGCTAATGAAACTCTGCCACAGACCTCATAGCACTCTCGAGACGACGAGATCAAAGCGCTAGCTCCTGAGGCAATCGGACGATCAGCCTCAAAAGCTCCCTCCGACTACCTGTCGTCTTGAGGGGAAAAGTCGGAGTATGTGCTGACCACTGGTTTCTTCTCATGGTCACTTCTTGCGGACAGAGCCTGCGCTACTGTCCATGCATGTCAATGACAAACAAATCAAGCGCTGGCGTGCAGCAGGGCATTGTCAACACGCCTGTGCTTGGATCGAATAGAGAGAACACATGATCACGAGGATCTGAAAGGTGCTTGAATGCCTTGCTTACACTTTGCCTTGGCCCGGTGCAGAGATATGGGTTCACAGGGCAAGATCGGAGCACCAAAGTTGAGTCAATTGTTTACAGCAGTGGGTAGCAAAAACACGGGCACCAAAAACTCGGGTACCAGAACAGCCTGTCACGTGGCTCCTTGCGGTTTGTGCTTTGAGTTCGCTGGAAACCCGACTTGGGCTCATTATCGGCGTTTGCGCTCGAAGGATGTGCTATTTCGCTTTCCCCCTGATTTTGCCGTGCGCTGGAATTGATTCCCACTCTTGGTGTGAAGTGTGGGAATTCCAGCTCACATGACCCCTCGAACCCCAGCCGCTAAACAAGTTTTTTCAACCCCTTCAGAACCCAGATGGCTGCCCTGGCTGGAGTTGTGTGATGAAGATCTCTGGAGTTGTCATCAGATCCAGCCTCTTTTGCACAGTAAACTGCTCCATCTGGCGATGTTTTTCTCTCGTGGTAGATGAGTATCGTGCTCGCGGTAACTCACGCATTTGTCCTTAAACATTATGCGCTCCTTCTGGTGTTTTGGACGGCTACTGATTGCAACTGCGCACCCTACATCTTCTTATTTTTTGGACTTGTTACATGGAAAATACAAGAAAGCCTGAAAGTTTAGGTGGTTCTGGGCGGAGGAGCGACTCAACAGTAGAGCTCCCCATGCTTGCCAGGTAGGCTGGAAGATTCTGTAGGCTGAGCCAGCTCCGCTTGCGTAAGGATGAGGAGACTGCGACTATCGTTAAATTAGAGACGATCATGAAGGGTTTCGTTGCTTGAACTGGTTGCAGCCACCAGCGGCTCTCACTTCGGCGCACATCTGGAAGCTGTGAAGCCAGGTGAGATGTGTACCGGATCCTCCGGAGTATTGGGCGACTCAGAGCTTTCGTCGTACGTCCTCGGGGCGCTCGGCGGACCCGTAGCTGCTCTGGCTACAGTTGGCTCATCATCTGTCCCGTGCCTCGCCAGAGCTAGCTGACGATTTGTGAAAGACACACATGCAATCTGCCAGAATCTCCGGACACTACCGCAGCACAATCACCACAGTACCCACACAGACCCACCCTGGCCTCACATAGGACCCTCTAGAAGGCGCAGTAGCTTGACGGGGCGATGGGCGCATTGAGGGGCTCGCATGTTCGCCACCCCTTGGCGGCAAAGAAGGGGCAAGCAAGAACGAGTATGCAGCGACGAAAATTGTCTGATGCGAGATAAACGCAAAGCAGACCAAGCAAGGGAAGCAACAGGAGCCATGTCCAAGACAAGCCAGTCCATTCACCAACTCTTTCACACATCGGGGTTGTTACTGGCCTCAACAGCTGCTTCATACGATTTCCCCAAATATCTTTCCCAAAGAATGTTTCTGCCACCCTCATAGCTCTAACAGCCAAGAAACATTTCCTGACAGTTTACACATACAATTAGAACTCAGGGTTTCCAGCCTCATCAAGTAATCATGTACTGCCTTGGTTGCCTTCATGTTTTCATTTGTCATGCGGATGCTCTCTTATCTCCCTTCGAACTATTCCCGCACAACCGGATCGTGTGACGCACCCGGTGTTTGTCTCCCTTCTTGTTGTCTCTCTTTGCTCAAGAACGTTTCGCAGGGGAGACTTGACGACATTGACGATGCTCGATGCTTCCGCGAGTTCGGTGATTTCATGACTCCAATCAAGTTACATGTAGCTCCGGCGAGGCTCCGACACGTGCAATTAGAGCTACCATTTAACAAAGCGCTTGAGAGCACCTAGACGCGAGCTGCCCAGACGGATCTGCCGAGCGACTCTGCCTTCTTGCGCGCTTCCCATTCTTCCGTGTTTTTGCGTAGATGTGCCAGCAAAACATCCTGCTCGGGCACCATGGTCACTGTTGAACACTACCGCGCAAAGGCCAGAGTGAGAGCTTGCTGGCTCAAGCTAAGAGCACAGCCTTGACTCCGTACTGCAACTCCGCCAAGAGCGCAAACGTAGGCTGCACAATGATGCTAAAGAAGCCAACCTCGCACGCTGGACATCACAGAATACAAGCCTTAAGGTCAGACCGATGTCGGCAGGCCTGTGAGCTTGCAAACCGCACGGTGTCGCGATCACACAGTGGAGAAACAGGCAGGCCAAGCTGCTTTTCCTCGCGCAACGAGGCAGCAACGAGGCAGCAACGAGACAACCGAGCGTTGCCAGCCCCGAAGAGCGCCACAGGGCCTGGCCGCTCTTCCCGTCCCAAGGCTCCGGCCTGATCTCCTTGCAGAAAGAACTCTTGTCGCAGCAGATCCTTGAAGACTTCTGCGAATCGCAATTGAATTTGGACATGAGATTAGCTGATTAGCTTAGCTTATTTGGTGCTTGATCATGGCTCTCACAAGTGGTCCGTTCAACATCGACGGGTGGATGAAACGAATGTATGCTTCTCGCACAAGCTGTCACGCACCAAACACGGTTGTAAAGGGCTACAAACCTGCAGGTTTAAGTGCGCCAGTGCTGAAACACAGCTTCCAGACTGGGAGCTTGGAAATTGTCAATCATGACACCCCGGTTGAAACTACTTTTCTTCTCCAGAGCCTCACCACCCTAGTCCGCACAGGCCGGCTTTGCAGTGGAAGCAGCAGACCACTTGTCCGACAGGGTCAGAATCTTCGCAGGGTTGGAGATGTCCATCGCATGGAGGACCATCACCCGCAGCGCAGACCTGAGCGAGCCGTTTGCAACACTGGTGCCATGCATGAGTCACGTTCGCCCCTCGCACGCAGTAAGGAGACTCCATGCCTCGGCGGGTTAACAGTTGCTGAGGCAAGCTGTTTTGCTCTGAGTTGCATGGCTTTCTCTTCGTGCCACTCGATCATGTCGTTGCCCAGCTTCTCGACCAAACTCTTGAAGTCAGCCTTACTTATCAAGAGTCAGCACTGCTGCCGTGGCAAGCTCTGGCGCAGGCTCTGGCTGTTCAATCTGCAGACGAGCTGCCACATTCGCAAAGTGGGAAGACATGTCTGTGCCAAGAACTACCTGCTGCAACATAGACTTGCCGACACAGAAAGACTTGAATTCGTTTTGCGCTAGAACTGTTACCAAATGTTACCAATCTTGTTGAAAGCCTATTCTACAGCCATCACCATTCCCGCTTCTTTTACCGCTGGCAAGGAGATGAGCTGGCTTTCAGTTGATGTTCGAGCTTTGGTGTTGGAATCGTGGTAGTGGGCAACATGCAAGCCGCTGAAAGCCCTGTTCTGCCCTGGAGAAATGAAGCTCCCAGCAAGGCGATGTGGGCTCTTTGCCAGGGAAAGGGAGCTTTTCGGCCCCGAATTACACCAAAAGCACGTAAACCTAAGACCTGGGTGGACTAATGCCAGAAATAAGACAGACAGAGAGAGAGAGAGAGAGAGAGAGAGAGAGAGAGAGAGATAGAGAGATTCCCCACATAACATGCGCTTGCATGGGTTGCATGACATGGCATAGAATTACACGGGGTTCGCAAGCGCTTCGCAACGCAAGCGCTTCGCAAAGTGTTTTCAGATACTTCGAAAGATTTCATAACATTAGTCGGATTTCATAAGGCTGAGAGGGGCTCGGGCTTGGGCTTCAAAATCATTCCCAGATACCATTCCCGGGCTCAGGATTTGACGGCAACTATTGCAAGTTGCATTAGTTCGTTCTTTCCGCATTTTCTTCGGCTCCTTCTATCTTTTTCCTTCCTTCCTTCCTTCTTTCCTTCCTTCCTGTCGGATGTTTTCAATTGAAACATCGAGAGAAAACGCAAGGTTTCCTCTTAAAATGAAAACGGAACCAAGGTGCTGAGATGGCACTCAAAATACCAAAACTTCGCACATCGCCCTAAAGCCACGCGGTGCTCCAGAGACGCTCCCTAAGATACGCTTTGGTATCCGGGGAGGACACGCTTTTGAGACTCTCCGCCGGGTTCTATGGAAGTGAGCACTCCCGACACTCCACTGTGCGGCTGCTGGACAGATCAGCTAGCTGGTTCATTGAGGATCGATCTGACTGCGAACATGGTGTGGTTACACTTGTCGCATGCTAAATAGCAAAGTTCAGCAAGTGCATTTCGCGGAGTTGGGGAGTTGGTCTTGGAAGTGCGGCGGACTGGGATAAAGCTACAAACTTGTGCCAATGCGCAGCACGCCCTCGCGACCCTGAATGACTTGACTTCGGGACGGAAACATGCGCGTACTTCTAACTACAAATCACCCAGATAAGGCCTCGAGGCCACCTGTGACCCACCTGGAGAATATGCAAACCACAACGACGCAAAGCTCCCAGGAGCTAGTTTCGTTGCTGTCGTTAACACGGCCTTCTAAGCTGTCTAGCCGAAGCTTTACCAGCTGGTAAACGTCGGTAACCGTTCTCACCTCTTTGGTCTTCGGCTGTGGGCGTTTTTAAAAGGCCTCCACCATTTCCTTGCGAAGGCGAGTGCGGTGATCATGCTTCAACCCATCCTGAGCACGCGCGAGATCTGCATTAAAATTGCCCCGTGCTGCAAACTCAACATCTTCCAAGCTCAGCGGCCAGTATGTTCGCAGACGGGTCCTGCACCATGCGCAAAATGCCACGACCATCACTGCACCCGTGCAGCTTGAAAGCTTAAACTGCAAGACTGAGGACTGGGCACTGCGCATGAGTTTGAAGGTCTTGGAGATGTGCATATTCTCCAGGACACTGATGTCCTCAGCCCGATGAGCCACAGCTCAAGCGTATGCTCCGCCTGCTGTCTTCAACTCAACTCGTGAGCCTGGCCGAGTATGGTATTTTTAAGGTCAAACATGGTACAGCGACAGCACTTTCTAAAACGTCTTTGGGCTCAGAGACGAGGACCCTCAGCCTGGACTCCCAGGAAGGCATGGCGAAAAGCCAGGGAAGCTAGAAATCGAGAATACCCTCGAAGTGGAAAACAAGCTGTTTTAATTTTACTTCTTTTTGCAACAGACCCCCCCCCCCTTCCATCAGTAAAACTTGAAACGCACAGCGTGGGGACGAGAGCTCTACCACCGCCAGTGCATGGGCCGACCGCTAGTTTTGACCCGAGGCACGCAGTTCCGGGTCTGCAACTCAAGCCTTCCTCACTTCGTTCACGGTATTTGGACGAATCTCTTGTGGGAGATGAGCAGTATGGGGTCCGCTCGGTACAGAGGTCACCCCTGCCGCCCAAAAGGTGGGAAGTGGACGTTACTGGGTCACCCCACCGCCCCGGGGAGCGGACATCATGAGCATCAGCGAGTCGCAGTTTCTCCTCCGAGCTCAGAAAGGGGGAAAACCACAAAGACCAGCAAAATGGTGACACTTGTTGGCCATCCCGGTTCCCCACACCCCTAAAGCTTTCCGGGCTGACCTCGTGCGGTATGTGGACAATCTTCCAAGCAAGCTTTCATGACCTCTATCTAGACCTCATCAGAACCCACTTGCCGCAGAGCCGAGGGGTGTAGAACCTGGGGGTTTGGCGGATTTGAGATATTGAGGGTCTGGATTTTCCTGCTTGAGGCGGGAATGGCAGGGTGGGATTTCTTTGGCTTCGGCTGTTGCCTAAAACAGGATGGCAGGTCAAGAGCAACAGTTGGGATTGCGAGGGTTGAAACACAGCTACGCTTACACTGACTACGGACCACTGAATCTATGGAGCTCTTAATGGCCTCTTTCCAGGGCTCTATGAAGCCTTTTCGAGGCCCGCCGTGAGGCCTCATGGGAATACGTGATCCCACCCAGAGGTCTGTATGGACCCTATGACCCTTTGGGGCTGTCTCTTGGCACGAACACCAGGCCGAGGCGGTGAGGCTGGCACGGCCCCTTAATACCTCAAAATCAAGAAGTCCCGGCTGCGGCGCCTCAACTTCTTAATGCTGGGGCGAGGTACCCCATGAAAGGCGGTTTCTTAGCGCTCTTCTCGCTGTCACTGAACCAAAGCCTTGGGGCACTGTTGGGGCAAGGCAAGGAGCGTTGTAAGTCAAGGCGATGTCGTCCCCAACGTTGACATGGTAGGAGTTCGTTCGCCCATCGTGGCCTCAGAAAGTCTGAGGTTGCCTCATAGAACTTGAGGCGGCTGATCAGACCAAGTCCCAAGCCCATATCATGCACCGCAGCACCCAGGAGAAGTGCCAGAATGCTGAGCTGATCGAAGTAAGATGCGAAACCGAATTGCACGAGCAAGGCGTGCACACATTGCGTGACCTCATGGCGGCAAGGCCCAACAAGATTTGCTTTGCCTATCGCTCACCCGGCTTATAGGTTGCCAGCATTCAACCTTTGTGACATACATGACCTGCATACCAGAAGGTCTGATCAGCTGCCACGGGACTGGCTGTACTTCTCTCGCACTAGATACTAGACACGAGTAGCATCCCTACCGGCCCTAACATCGGAAGTTGCAGACCTGGCCGTGTGGAAAGCAGTAGCCATGGAACTTAGCCTGTGGAAGCATACCTACACTGTAGGACCTACACACGAAACCTGTACTGGGAAACAAGTATGTCGTGGTGGTGGTGCTGGTGGTGGTGGTGGTGGTGGTGGTGGTGGTGGTGGTGGTGGTGGTGGTGGTGGTGGTGGTGGTGGTGGTGGTGGTCATGTCATGTACCGTCACGCAGTCTCGCCAAAACTTCCGAGCCAACCAGTATCATTGCGTTAAAGAGAGGCTGAACTGTGACCAGGCGCGTCTGCAGCGTGCACATTGTTGTGATACAGTACAGCATCTGCTTTGCAATACATGTCCTCGCACTGCACACCAAACGAGGCTGTCGAAACAACAATGTGGTCAAGCTGCGGTTTCTCATGCGAGGCAATGCACGCAGGTCCTCGGCAGCTTCCAAGAAACGACTGGTCTTCTCCATGTCCAGGAAGATGTCTTCCGTCCTCTTGTCTTCAACTGTCTGCATTGCAGCATTGCTGCATTGCACTTGACGCTTGGTCGATGCTGAGGGCATCTGAGTGCAAGGCTCATTTGAAAGGAAGCCGGAAAGCGCCCTCCACCCAGCAAAGTGCAGCGGATGTCCGTGAGTTGCCTCTGCCAGATCAAAGCCTTGGTGGAGTTTCTCAGCCTGTTCTGGCTGCAAAGGACGGCAAGATCTTTAATGTCAAGCTGCTATCAAAGTCCCAACGATCCTCGGTTTGGGCGGCATTGGCAGTGCTGCAGGCATCCACTCGAAGCGGCCAGCCATCGTGCAAGGCAAGGTGCGAAGGCTGTCAACATCTTCGAGTCTATTGAGTCCCAGTTTGGTTGTCTGAAAGCCACAGAAGGGGTTCTAGATCGGCTGCCAGGCGATCCAGGGCAGGAGGAGCTTGGCGGCACCTGGCCGCTGGCTTCCAAAACACAAGGTCCACGCAGCAATCGCTCGTGGGCGCCTGGCCTGTTTTGCATATATTGAGCAAAGGTAGTCCTTGGCTGCATCAGAGACTTCGTGGCAACGGCAGCAACGAAAGGTGAGGAGCCACAAGTGCCTCATGCGAGCTCTGCATAGCAAATGTCAGACAAGCGGCATATCCACCTAGCAGCCATCTTCACAACAACTCTAACAGCCATCAGCATCCAGACGGATGCCCACTTCCATGCTGACACACAACGCTTGCATGATAGAAAATGTGTGCTGTCGGAATGGTACAGAAGATGATTCTCCTGAACCTCCTGCCTGGAGTTCCATCACCTGAGGCTTCGGGCTTGCACAGCATTTATGAAGTCGTGTTGTAACTTGCTATGGATAGCTGGACCTGACCATGCCTGATCCTCGAATAACATCGACTGCTCTAGCTACATATGCTACTTCAACCTCAAGCCACAAGACCAAGCCAGCTGAGTTGGAAACAAATACAACATAGATTACGTTGTCTGCAGGGCCTTCATGGATGACATTGGCAAGAGCAATCAGACTGTCTGGAACAGGCAGTCATTACCCACCTTCCACCTTGACACAATAACAAGGGCACATATAGAGACTAACGTCAAACGGCTAATCACAAGCAACCCCCAAGCATTCGTCAGGTCGCTAGACAACTGTGCTTCATGCACAAGGTATGCTGAGTAACTGGCTTGGGTCAGAAAGTGGGTTCAGTTGACCAGTGCTTCTACGCAGGCAGTTCACGGCCGACTCTTTGCTTCAGCAACTCAATTGCACACCAGATGAATTAGCTGAGTCTCGTGGCAGCAGCGCACAGGGCAGTGCCAGAGTTTCAAGGCTTGCCCCGACGCAGTCTCTTAAGAAAAGCATTTCTTCCTCAGCTGGCTCGCGCACCAGTAAGCAGAACTGTTTGGCCATATGTTCGGTCAACCTCACATCGCAATCAAAAAGAAACAGCGGCTCCATTGGTGGGCCTGGAAGGCATGCTACGAATCGAAGATCCTTGGGGTTCATGGGGAATAATTAGGGACAGGCAGCACCTTCCAGCTCTGGGTTTTCCAGGAGCCTAGCGATAATGCCCTTCGCCACATCCATCAGTGTCGCAGATGTGCCTTCGGCCGCAAGCAGTTCTCTCACCCCCTCGGTGTCGGGGGGAACCAGCGGAACTGGTCCGGAGACGCTGCGCGACAGCGATTGCCTCAAGATGTGAGGACCCCTATCCTTGTCCTTCAACCCACATGCTGGGTGACATCCTCTGATTCTATCCACATTGTTACATATCTCCGTTTGAGAACTGTTTTATGGCAAAGCTCGAAAAATAGGGAGGTATGTCGTGCACTCAGCCCACTGAAGTTGCAATCCAAACTGCTTCACAACCACCCTAGGCGCTGGTTCTGTGTGATGTCTCCGCATTTCTCGACGCATGTCCGGCGCCCAAGAATAGGCTTGCACTATGAATTTCTTGGGGGCTGTAACTGGTCACTGTGATATCTGGTCAGCGGCTCTGAGCGACAGCGGCTAGTGACTAGCATCCTGCGTTGCGAGACTTCAATCAGTCTATTGGTGAACAGAAGTCATAGGTGCACACGTGTCTTGCGCTGGAAGGTCCTTCACATTGGTCTACATAGGTTAAGTGGGCGCACTGCTTCCAGGTTACAGGAGCCAGAAACCTGCAGCAATGTCAAGTCGACGGCAGAATCAAGTGAACCTCAAGCTTCAGGCAGGCCTTTTTCCCGAGAGCAAAGCAAAGCCGTCTTCGTCCAGCGACACTCGACCACGTATGGGTCAGGGCAGGTGATTGCAGGTGCAATGCCGCAATGCCACTGATCGTTCACACGGGACTATAGTCTGTGGGACCCAATAATGGCTAAGGGCGGCATGGCCTCCAAAAGCAAAAGGTAGTGCTCTGCGACTGTTGGCAGATTCCTTGCAAATTCGTATGGCGAAATTTCTGTGCATCCAGGCACTGTGCTTAGCAGCTAACCTGATGCCAGAGCCGTCATGCTGCTTGTTCATATCAGCCTTTCATCCAAACCTGGGACCAAAATCAACAGCCCAACGGACGTGCAGTGACAAATTGCATCGAAGCAGCTTTCCAAAGCGAAATCCTCAGCATTTCACAGGCTTGCCAACGCATTCCAAAAGGTAGGTCAGATGAAGAGGATGGGCATCCACTGCCGGGGGGGGCATATATATGAATGTTAAGGGCCTGAAAGATTCGCCGAGCTGCGTAGAACTTGACAGAGGGTCCGCACTGATCAGGACGGTCCACGGCACACGGGCCCAAACCATCGGCACCTTTGCCATCCATCCACTGCATGTTCTCGTGCTTCCAGTAGCTAACGATGGGCGTCATACCCTCATGGAGGGCTTGGGTCAGCTCGCTTGCACTGTGTCGGCCTCGGAAAATGTAGCTGTCGGTAGCAACCTCGGCATTCAAGTCGCATGGACTTCCAATCTGGGACAAGCGTGTTGTTATTGCCCGTAGTTGGCCGTTGCTGCCAAGAGGGAACCCAACCTCAACCTCAAAGGGACGGTTGGTGTCGATGCAGTGGGCACCGGGCCCATATTCTTCTCTGGTCCAGTCCCTGTGCCAGCTCCAATCCAGGCCCCCACCACCATAGCCAAGACCACTTCCAGAGTTGTCATCGGGCAAGTGCAGCACAGAGTGGAAGGCATATCGGTTCGCCTCTTGCAAATCAATCTCCGTACAGCGCACTCCACACACGTCATTCGCATCACAGTAGTGATCTAGGCATTGTGATACCTCTGCGTTTTGGTGAAGTGAGCCCAGGTAGAACGCAGCATTGCAACCACAGTCCGTCCCTGAGATGTCAGTTTTCCACCGTAGCCTTTTGCCGAGCAGAAACAGCTTGGAATAGCGGCTGTTGCTGAACTCTGTAGGCACACAAGTATCCGAGAAGTATGTTCGGCCCTTGATAAACACGTGAATCTCTCCATTGGAAACTTCCACATCTCCAGCCAACTCTCCAGGCACATTCCAGTATGCATTGGCCGTCTGGATAGAACCTCAGCTCACACAGGTCATGATGGTCGACACTTGCCATGGCTTAGGCTGGTGGGCCACTCCCTTAGCTGAAGGAAGCTGGTTTCTGCTTGGCGGCCGTGGCCCTGCAGCTCGATCGAGCCCGAACACACGGGACCTGGCCAGTCTCGGGAAAATAGTGCTTGGTGCGCTCAAATGCCGTGTTCGCTCCTGGCCTACAGGTTCCGGTGAGCGTGCGAAAGCAGAGGCGGCCAACAGGAAAGCCCGCATGGTCGTGGAGTGAGGTGTGCGTCTGGACCAAAATCCTTCAGGTGGCGGCTTGGGTGCTTAAGGCTCGGAGTAGCAATTGGGAGTTGCGCAACACTCCAAACTCCAAGGGCGCTTTCTTTTCTGGCAAGAAAACGTTGGGCTCTCTCATGTAGCCGAAAACCATCGAAAACTCTACATTGGGAGCGCATGCTTTACTCCCAACTGTCGTGTCAACTTGAAGGCTGTCTTTTAAGCAAGTCTCCCCACAAGCCTACAAGCCTACAAGCCTGCCACATCCAGCATGTTCTTCATCCTGGTTGTCATCTTGGTAACTATGCATTCTGAAAGCACCCCGGATGCACGGAGAAAGCTGAGGGAAGAGAGCCTAATAAGTTGCTTTCGGAAAACTGCAGCGCGAAACTCACTGGCTAGCAGTTCCCGAAATCCTACTAAGATTCCCGGTGCCTAGCCGAGCCTTGGAATCCTGCAAGTCTGCCGCAACTCTTCCAAGTCGAGCACTGTGGTTCGGGCTTGTTAGAGCTTCTTTGCAGCACTTCTGTTCTGGCCGTGTGTTTGTGCTCTCTTTTTCGTCAAAGAGTGTTGCGCGGCGATGTCCTCTCCTCGTGGAGAATCCCCGCTCGTCATCACTCCAGGCTGTTGATTCTGAAGTATCCTTCTAATGCATCCTGCCGATGAGCTCTCGCCGCGTCGGAGGGGGGGGGGAATCCTCCTCCTCCTCCTCCACCACCACCTCCTCCTCCTCCTCCCATCAACGCTTACACAAGCACTGTCATTCGAAGAGTTTTGTTAGGAACTTCGCGTCTCCGCCTGTACTTGCCCAAGACAACGCCTCCTTCAGCTGAACTGCCCCCCAAAGGCCAAGTAACGTTACTCTACTTTCTGTTCGCTGAATGAAAACGGCTGGCTTGTCATAGCCATGCATCCAGAGCCACAGAAGTTACGTGGCAACATATGGCAACTCAAAGCACACACGCTTGAGCGCAGGCCTGTGCTCGTACAGATCTCCAGATGGCTGAGCCCACTGCGTTTTTGAGCCGGAACACGGCGACAGGTCCGGAGCCGACTTTCCATGCAAAGTGCAGTACATCCAACACAAACGCAACCATGCCGGAACGTTGGGCGAGGTACTGAGTGATGCGGTTTTATCTTGGGTCACTGTGGTCGTGGGTCACTGTGGGTCACCGCGGGCGGCCCAAGCCAGGAGCCTCATGCGGAGCACAGCAGGGCAAAGCGGAGCATGGCTTTCCAGGCTGTTCACTGAGGGCCTCCAAGCGCGGGGTGGACATGTCCTCGGCTGCACTTGTCCACTTGTCCACTTGTCCGTGGTGACACTGTGTAACACAGCATCCCTGGCATTCTGCTCTGGCCGCTAGTGCAAACATCTGCATCCAGATCTCGAAATAATCTGCTGATCCACATGCTGCCGATGTTCGCGAGCCTCGACCTGGCCAACGAGGGAGAGTCAGGACCCCCAGTAGTGAGTCACAATGCCTACCCTACCACATCATCACCTATCGCAGGTCATCTTGGGTGCGAGACCACGCCCCGAGAGTGGTCCAGCCTGAACTTCAAGAAGCTTTGGACAAACATGTCTTTACAGCAGCTGTCAAGCCATCTTATCACACCAAGACACACCAAGGCAACACACTTTTTGCAGAAGACTCAGCAACAGCAAACAATAAGAGCACCTGTGGCAATCCAAGGACGACTTTCAGCACCCACGCAGCAGAGCCGATGCATTCCTTGATTCTGTGGATCGCGTGTGAGAAACAGAAGGCCGCGGTGCAAAGCAGCCCGCTGTACTTTGGCAGCTTCGAAGGACCACTTTGTCTTCTGGCTTTCTCAGAAATGCAACTCTGTAGTCATACACAGGCGTCACGCGCCTTGCTAGCTCCAATGACCGTGGGCTCGGGTTCTGCCTTGGCCTCGGACTCTGCGGGAACCTCCGACAATACACCGTACGACCTTCCAGCCCCCCCGTCCGCGTGGATCTCCTCAAGCGAAAGTCCACGCAAGTCTGGCAGGAATCGGCAAGCGAAAAGGCACGAACTAAAGTTTATTGCAGCAAAGATCACGAAGGTCACGGCCTTGTTGGTGAAAAGCAGCGTTTCGAATAGCTGAAAGATGAGGACGTCAATCATGCTGGCCACAACTTGGCACTGACCCATGAAGGAAGAACGGACCTCGTTGGGCAGGATTTCAGATATAGCCACAAATTGCACGCCGCCATAACCAGCATTCCACGAGAGAATTCGAAAAAATATGCAAGAAGCGGCGAGCTGTGGCTGCAAAAATGCGGGCATTGCCATATGAAACGCCAAGAGGACGTCGCACAGGGTGCAAAGGAAGCTTCCCGTAATGACGAGCCGTCTCCGTCCCAGCCGGTCCGAGGAAAACATGGCAAGTAGTGCCCCGAGCAGCTTCATCCATCCAATAACTGGCAACAGCCCGGCAGGCTCCTGCACGCCAGAGACCCGAAGCAAGTCGTATGCGTAGGTTTGGATCGCATAGGTCCCCGTTGCCGAGGTGCCCCCTGCCAAACCAAGCGCTATAAGGAAGGGTCGTCTGTGCTTGCGCCAGTTAGAAAGATTTCGACTGCAAGCATTTTGTGTTTTCGAACTTGCATCGGCCGACACCTGACCCGTCTGCACAAGCTTTCTGAGCTCAGCAGTCTCTCCCTCCAATCCTAATGATGCACAAGCTCGATCCAAACCAGCGACATCTCCTCGCAATGCAAACCACCGCGGGCTCTCTGGCAACCCACAAATAAAAACAAGCTGCACTGCAGCGGGCAGTGCTGCAAGCGCCATTATGCCCTGCCACCGCCACTCTGCAGAATCTCGAGACGAGACATGCAGTCCAAGCAAGCAACCGACACACACGGCAACTTCATGCAAACACACGAAAATACCACGTTGTGCTCGCGGAGCGATTTCACAAAGGTAAGTTGGGGTCACTACGAATGCCAGGCCCATCCCCGCTCCAATCAAGAAGCGAGCCATCAAGAAACTGGGAACTGCTGTGGTGCTTGACTGCACTGCGACGGAGATTAAGATCAGCACATCAGCCACAAAAAGAGCAGCCGAACGACCGTACTTGTCTGCAATGAACACACCACAGATCCTGGCTGCAAGCCCACCAATGCTTGCGAAGGACATCACTGCCTCCTGCCACGGATAAAACTAGAAGCGACAATCACACAATCTTTGTAAAACGATGCTAAACTGGACGTGTGGACGTGTGCAAGGAAGGCTCCTTAAGGAAGCAAGTCGCAACTGCGCCGCCAGTGTGGCAAAGCTCCAAGTCTTTGTCTACAGAGTCCAGAATACCGGTCATGATGCAGATGTCGTAGCCATTGACGACGCCACTGAGCACATTGAAGAACACGCAGCTGCATCTGATGCACCACCTCGGCTCTCGCTTCTTTTTTTGATCTAGCTGCAGGCAGTGGGCCGCCTCAGCTGCAACAAGAATCTTAATCAATCAAGCATCTGTCGGGGCTGCAGCTTCGCGGTCGTCCTGAACAATGCACTCATACACGCTTGACCAGGGGTAGGGAATCTACTACATACTTGGGCCCTAAAACAACGAACAAGCACCTTTCCTACTTCTCGGTGCGAGGACAAACCAACACAAGGGGAGAGCAACACGTGTAGACATGCTCATTGGCAGCCCTTGGCACAAGCAAGCATGTGTGTGCCCACCCCTTGCAAAAACTCTTCGGGAAGCCCGGCTGCTCACAGCTGAAGCTACGCCGGGTGCCCGAGCATAAAGCGGCAAAGCGAATGCATGCTGCAGAGGCAATTGGTTTTGGGCAGCACGCGCACACACAGCTGAGTGGGGAAAAACGCAACTGGCAATCCTCGGGCAGGGACAAAGCCTGGCCGAACGAACAGAAATTCGGAATGCTAGTACATACAAGAAAAAGCAAAGTGGCAGGCCACAGAAAAAACAAGAGGCTGTCCCCGAAAGCTTGCAGCCTTTTGTGGAAATTTCTCTGCAAAGCCCAAACCATCTTGCATTCCCTCAATAAGGCGGAAAGGAAGAAAGCGCGATCCCTTGCAGATTACATGTGAACTCATTCTAATATACTTTGACACCGAAACTGCTCTTGACCCTCATCTCGAGCTGAACGAGCAGAAATCTGAGGGAGGTTTCGGGTTTCGTCTTTCGGGCTTCGTGTTTGCCAGCTGAGAGCTCTCGACACAGGATTTCCTGCAGGGATGTACTGCCCGCGCAAATAAACCTAAGCGGCTAGACAGGTGTATTTCGTTACGGGTTTTGGGTTCTTGGAAACTCTGCTTTGGAGCTGGGAAACATGAGCTCTACACTGGGAACGCAAAGTCAAAGCACCTGATAAGGTTTGGGGTTGTGCTTCAGGTTTGCATGGAAAACTGCGATTGCAAGAACAACGACTGGTAAAGCCACAAGCACCATCACCAGGATTATGCTTGCAATCACTGATGCGGTCATGTTTCTGTTCCTAACTGGCATGATCAGGATTCTTGATACGGGGAATACAGTGTACATCTTCAAACCTGCCTTGTAATCAACCCGTGCTCCCAAGAAAACATCATGTCGCAACGTCTGCTGCTGCCGTTTTTTTTGACTGCGCGAGGCACTGTATCGTGCCCATCGGCACCGGCGTTTGTGAAAACCAATTACTTCTGAGAGAAGGCCGTTTCAATTTCGAGTGGCGGCTCAAGGCTTTGACGATGGTCAGACTGGCCCTCTCACCATGTGAAAACAACACCTTGAAGGGGTACCGCTACCTTTCACTGAACAGCCATAGACTTGCTGTGATCCTCTTACCTGGCCTTGTGTGAATCTGAAAAGTCCTAAGTAAAGAGCTTGCCCACATGTTGGAAAAATGCGTAGATCCGTCGGAGTTGAACCCTACAAGTGGACCGAATATGTCGGAGTGATGGAGACGAAAAGTGCTGTCCCCCTGACAATGCAGCCCTTTCTCGTGATGCCAAGATGCACCCCGTCGTCTTGCGTGCATTGGACATCCATGTGCTGCCGGCTGGGGGCATGCGAGCAGCATCCGTGACCACTCTGCTCTCGCGTACAGTTGTTGCTTTGTTGATCTTTTGTGCAAACCATGTTAAATTGTGGTTCACCTGCTCGCTTTCCGCATGAACACTGTCAAATACTTCAACAAGCCGGCTGCCAATCTTCAGGCTTGCACTTGCAGTGAGCTGGGTTGCTTATGGCACGTGTTGCTCATTTCGGGTGCCTTCAGTGGGGCCAAGGCGCGCAAGACTCATGAGCACACTGCACCAAGATTGCTACAGCCAACGCCAAGGATGTGGCAATGACCACATCCTCGTCATCTTCCGCACCCATCCACTCCGACAGGCTGGACCTTCACAAATTTACTCAACATGTTGACACGCCAGAAAGACCGCCCAAACACGGCAGAAACGCAGCTGCATGTCGCCAGGGACCAGCTGTCGTGCCGTGCGCCGCCTGAGAGGTGCCGAACAAAAAAACAGCTAATTCCCGATGAAATACCGCCGCCTCCAAAGCTTGAAGAACACGAAGGCGAGGAGAAACACCAGCCCGATTCCCCACGCCGTTCCCTTGACTCTATGCACCAACGCATACAGCCGCCAAGTTCCCAAACATTCCTAGACATAGCTGAGGCAGATGCGGCATGAAAACCTGTGCCTTCAACGCGCGGAGGCGAAGTTCCCGCTGTTGGATTTTTCACCTCACCTGGCTCTAATGCCATTTAGGATCGCGAGACCCTTGGCCTGAGCCATATCCCCTGAAGTTTTACTGACAATGCTAACAGCGAGCAGAAATGCCTGGAAGCGATGTTGCCGAGGAAGCTGAACCAGTGCTGCCACTGAAAGCTGCGAAGCCTCAATCAAGCCACGGCCACAAGCTGTCCTAACTTCTGCGCAAGTGTCCACCAAAAGCCCGGACTAAGGCCGTCGCTGGTAACACCAGCGGGAGCAAGACTGCTTGTTGTGCTGTGTCCTTGGACTGGCCACGACTACACATCCCTGAGACGTCAGCAAGTTCAACTCGGAGCGCCACTTGCATCTCCTACAGCGCTGGCCACACTGCCGGTCACCAGTGTCGTCGAAAACAAAGATGCCACGGAGACGTCTGGGCTCATGGTTTGTTGGCCACAGAGCATCTAGCATTTGTGTTCTATGTCGGCACGTAAAGCTGAGACCAATGCTGCCGTGTTCGTCACCTGCAGAAATCGAGCCAGAAGTTGTTGTAGTGGTAGTTGCATTGGTTTGGCCTCATCTGCACAACACACAACGGGTGCCTTGCAAATAATGCTGAGGCTGCACCAGAGACGTAGTCACGGGCATGCGGTTTGCGTTGCAAAGTCCGAACAGATGCTGCAGCGGAGATTTGTCACGGAACTCGTATGCGCAAGTAAGCTGTATGAAATCGATTCAAAGTATCGACCCTAACTTTTCAGGGACACACGTGAACATGCAGTCCCTTAACCAACATTCACTATGTACAAGCACGCGGTTCTCTCACAAACAGCTAGCTGTCCGTGTCCGCCCCAAATGAACCATTGAACCTGTCACAGACATTCGATCACAGACGCTCGATCTTGTGGTCCAAACCGCGTTTCCCAACTGTTCCTTTTGCTTCGGCATTTGCGGACTTTGACCTGAACGGTTTAGGATAGCGGGCTCTCCCCAAAATGTTCCAACCTAGCTCTTGCAATTGCCGTTCCTTCGGTGTTTTTTGGCGGTTCCTTTTAGCGCAATCGATCAACGATTCGCAGCGCAATACATGCTGCGGACAAGTTGGTTGATTTTCGTCTTGGGGCGTCACCTGGGCCGGCATTGACCGAGGAAGAGCTGGACGTGCTGACATTCTCTTGCCCGGAAGGTTCGAAACCTGCAGACGAAGCACCTCGAACTGAACCACTACTGAACCCACATGATCCCCGCATGCCTGCGGTGGTTGTGGTGTTCCCAACCTCACCACAACACTGACCAACTGATCCTGATCGGATTGGACTGCACATTCGGTTTGTAAGCCGGAAACTAATTGTCTCGGTGACAACGCTTGCACGTCACCTCACACTGCCGCATCTCACAGAATGTTCGAAAGGCAAGTAGTACATGTCGGGTTTGGGCCCGCTCGCTGAGACATGGCGTATTGCAGGAAAGCATGTGCAAAAAAAATTGCGTTGCATCGGTTTCATGACGCTACATTTTCTTGCCATAAGTATGATAGTAAGAGTTAATAAGTGGTTGCATGTAGTTTCTTGCATTTTCCTGATTGTTCAGCATCTTTGGCATTCTTGATCCGAAACGGACAATTACAACGGCGCAATTAAACAAGGGCACATGCAACATCATGCAACCGCGATAGCAGTTGAGTGCAAGCAAATTGCTTCGCATGTTATTTCGCGGGTTACGAAAACCGAACCATCCCCAATCGCCTCACGCGGTGGTGCTCAACCGCATGATGCAACGAGGAGCGGACCAGCGTTGACTCGCTGAGCCGTGCCACCAGTGCAAACCTCGATGCTTATATCGACAATGTTTGACCATAAAGCGTTCCGCAAAGGCCGCATGCCCGCCGACGCAGCAGCTGCCGTTGGGATGAGGAGTTCGGCAGCCATAGGCTTCACTGTAAAGAGGGCACGCCCGGCGTGCGGTGGGGTCTACACACTGCCCAAAAAACTGAATTTAGGAACGCAGCAGCAGCCGGTGGGATGAGGGGCGGCCGTAGGCTTCACTGGAATGAAGGCACGCCCGGTGTGCGGCGGGGTCTACGGACTGCCCATAATTGCCTGCTGGTCCGTTTGGTCGGCCAAACGGCTGCCCATAGACTTCTGCATTTAGGTGCGGACGTGGTTGCCGCAACGCGGGAGGCGTAGGCTTTTCTTTCCCGCGAGATCAGCCCATGATCAAGGTCGGAGGCCTAGCTTACTACAACCGGACTCAGCAGGCAGCACTAAGCGGAAAAGGCCGGGACGAACGGACTTGCCAGGGTGTGACACAACCCCAACAGGATTAGGATTGGCGACGGCCCGTGCATGGAAGAGAGAAGGCGGATCGTGTATTTTGAAGCTGATCTGTCTTAAGGAGTTACGCAAAAGGACATCCAAAAGAAAACTTGCCATGAATTCTAAAGAGAAGAGGCAGCACATCATTCTCGAAGTCAGTCTCAACGCTTGCCGTATTTGCTTAAGGCACCAACTCCGAGAGCCAGGAACGAAACATATAAAGAGAGCCCTGGTAGTAGCAGCAGCGCCAAAACATCTGGAGGTTCTGCAATTTCCATCACGAGCCTTGCAAGAGTCTCTCAAGCATAAAACGTTTGGTGTTTTTGCTTAAGGC